GAAGGAGACATTAATAATACTGCAGAAATTAATACAATCACAATAAACCAAGACGATGTTCGAAATGCAATACAATCCTGTAAAGCTGGTGAAGCGTGCGGCCCTGATGAATTCATCATTAATGGCGGGGAATCAGTTGTTCATTCTTTAACGATTCTTTTTCAGTCATGTCTGAATAATAACAAAATTCCAAACGATTGTAAGCAAGGGGCTCATAAGAAAGATGACATACAAGATTTAAATAACTATAGAAGCATTACTCTAAACTCATCCGTATCCAAAGTTTATGCAAAAAGGAATTTGTCAACGAAAAAAAATATACTAGGTGAGATTCAGGGTGGTTTCCGGAAGGATTGTCGGTGTGAGGACAAATTTTTGCCCTCAAAGGTATTGTGTCACACCGTAAATCAATCAAGAAATCAACTTATGTTGCCTTCCTTGATTTTTCGAAAGCTTTTGATAGAGTTTCGAGAGATCGGTTGAGAGTTGCATTATGAAATGTAGGAATTACTGGAAAAGTTTGGGACATCATTGACGATATGTATGATAATGTTTTTAACAAAGTCGATTTTAATGAAATAGAAACAGATTATTTTGAAACAACTCAAGGGGTTAAACAAGGATGTGTACTAAGTCCCTTAATATTTTCAATATATATCAATGAATTTGCGAAAATGCTGCATGATTCAGACCTTGGGGTGAAAGTTGGAGAACAAGTAATCCCTGGACTTTTCTGGGTAGATGACGTTGTTCTCATCGCAAACAATGCAGTGGAATTACGAAATATGCTGAATATAGCAGATAAATTTGCAAAACGATGGAAACTAAGTTTTAACCAAACAAAATCTCAAATAATGTACTTTGGTAAGAAAATGCATAAAAAGGCACACTTTGGAAATTAGGAATTTTTTTATTAGAAGAAACAAACACATATAAATATTTCGGCTTTATTATCTCTAAAAATCTTAAAGACCATGCACAGTTCACTGAAATTTGTAAGAAAGGGATGAAACTAATAGTGTATTGTAAATCAATTATAAATCAACATAATATTTGTAATAGGTTTGAATATGGTGATGTATTGTGGCACAATATAATAATGCCATCTATTAGCTATGGGTGTGGTGTATGGTTTTTGGAAAGTAATGAAGATATAAACAAGTTGAAGAGCCTACAATACTAATTTGGCAAATTTCTTTTCAAAGTGAATAGAAATGTTGCAGACACAGCTGTATTAGGAAATTTAGGATGGGCAGATTTAGGCTATATTCTTGATAAATTTAGGATACAGTGCTTAAATAGATTAAAACATATGGACAATAGCAGGTGGTTCAAAGTTGTTTTTATAGAGTTACACAAATCCCAGGAAAATAACTTTAAGCTTATCTGGAATTGGCCAAAATATATAAACAAAATTTTTGTTTCTAATGGACTAGATCATGTTTATGGACTGAAACACAAACTAATAAACAGTGGATCAAAAGCTTTCATAAAATAAGTGGAGAGAATGAACTGAAACATTTTACAGATAAAATAAATAACACGAAATCCCTTGAACACTATTGTTGGATCAAAAGAAATAACAAAAAAGAAAATTATTGTAATGATCCCTATGATCATTGTGGCATATCATTAATGTTTAAGGTTAGGTCCAACTCACTGGATTTAGAGGGAAATAAACTACAATGGGTAAATTACAAAGGAAATTTGTAAGTTGTGTCATGGTGGCAAAGAAGATGTATATCATTTCCTATTTTTATGCAATGCAACATTCCACTTAAGAAATAAATGTTATGCTGATTTGATCAAAACAGTCTTGAATATCGTTGAAGGCCAAACACTAAAGAATTGTATTCTCTCAGGGGGGGTGAATTTCAAGTTTAATTTGCTTTTTTCCATGGAATGTGAATTATGTTGGGGACATTGTTTTAAAGAGGTATGAACATTTCTTAAACATCTTTGTAAACACAGAAATGAAAGTAGTATGAATTCACCATGAGATCTAGTGTCAATTGTATTTTTATTCAGTCTCAGATATGTATGATTTTCCTTTTTTCTTTTTTTTATCTTGTTGCCATTCCGAAGGCTATATAAATATTATTATTTGCCAAGTATTTATTTGGTTCGCCAAAGTTTCACTGTGTTTTTCATTGATTTTTAACATTTTACTAGCAAAATTGCCAAAAAATATTTCTCCGAGTTTAATCCGAGTTTTAACGACAACCTGCATAACGCATATGCAGTTCTCGTCTTGGTGGAAATCACCGTCATTTTCGTGTGGGGATATTGTATCCCGGATTGTATCTTTCTTTGCAAAACGCTTATATGGACAAAATTGTGTCTCGTTAATTTCAAAGGTAGGACACTGTGCTTACTATGGTATTTATACACTTTGAATTATCGTTTGTGTCTCGGGTTTGGTGATCGTGAGAAACTCTTGCTATTCTGGTGAGAGCTTTGCCAGAAAAACTGCCTTTCTATTATTGTAAGAACTGATTATGTATTGTGTAAATTGAAAGTTTACCTTGTCGTTTGCAGTGTTCTCTCCGGGAATCAAACATCGTGCCGCCATGCTGCTCTGAGGGACGATCACGCTTGCCAGACTCTGCCACGCTCAAAATCATTATCGCCATGCTTGATTTCCGCAGCATTGGCACTTGTTAGGAGATATACATGAAGTGTGAAGCTTGGCTTCTGTTGCGTTCAAAAGTAGATAACTAAAAAGGCAACTTACTAGACTATAATGTACGAGACTACTTGAAATAAATTGAACCTCTGTCTCCAGAGACACATTTTTTATATCCTTACTGATTAAGTCAGAGGTACAGTTTGAATGTTTAGCTAGCACAATTAACCTCAATTTTGAACAGAAAAATAAATAAGACTCCGACTGAGACGGATAATTCCTGACGGCGGCCATGTTTTGTTTTTATTGTTGACAATTCGGTTTGCAAATTACCAGCACATACACGAAGCTATTGAAGGATTGGGGATGGGTAGGGTCAAATTCACGTAATCCTCAATTTTAATGATAATGATTTCATACTTATAATATTTTTTTTAACAATATTAACTAATATTTTTTGGCAATATATCCCATTTCAGTTAATGAAATTTGTTTCACTCTACACAGTAAATCTTGTTTATTCCAAAAAAAAAATAACTACATTATGATAATTAATATGCAAATTAGCTGCAACCTTGAGACAATTTTCTAGAGAACACTGGAATCCAGTTCAAATGAAATTTGACATACACCTACTACATGATCACTACTTCTGCTGATTATATTTGTATGCAACTTTATCTGTATTTATATTAAATGTATTATTTTTTTGTATTTTTCTCGAGAGTAATTTTTGATTTCTGTAGATATCTTGGCACCCATTTAGTTCAGTTTAAGTGAACTTTTCTGCATATTCCTTTTCAGATTTAAATGACATTGAACACATAAGTACTTAGGCATTATGCACATCCTAATATGTTTGTGCAGAATCATGTGCATGTTGATTTGATAACTTTGTGGAGTAGAACAGAGACTAGGGAATTAGTTCATTCTAGACTTTGGTAGAACATGATTAGAATAGCACAATGTAAGCTGCAATTTCTTTCTGCAATTTATGTCCATGCCGAACACTTGATTAAATTACATGTTGCAACTTTCAAATGACAACAAGCGAAGACAGTGTCATTCATGACTTGTTGAAAGTGGGATCAATTGCTAGCCTCATAAAGTGGAGTAATGACGTATTCTATGAGCTGTGACTCTGGGCTGCTCTACACTTACTTGATTACCTACTAAACGTCTATTGTATTGAAGAGCAAAGTATTTATTAATCACACCGTACATGCCTGATTTGCAGCATGTAAAAATCAAACAAGACTGCATGAAAACTCCGATCCGGACTATTCCTAAGTGACAGATAATCACAAATGTATAATAGTCAGTAAAATAAAAACAAATAAAAATAAAAAAAAATAATCAGCCTATAGTGATCTCATAAAGATAAGGTCACAGTAGCATCTATGTTGAAGCTGTGGTAGCATTGGTATTCTGCGAATAGTAAAGTTTCGCAAAATTTTAGTAAATATACTGTTTCGTAAACCCGTGCTTGTATTTGTCTTCGAAACAACAAGTTACATGAATAGTGTGACGCGTTAAGATACATAATTGTTGAAAAAAATATCACTGTAATTCAATGAAATGTCAAGACTGATATGATGAATGTCACCCAATTGAAAGCATTTGAAACTATTTTATTTATTTCCTAAAACATGCCGTTTGTGTGGTCGATTAAGATACACGTATGACACATGGAAGGGAATATGTATAATACTGTTCGAGGTGAATACTTTGCAGCACGTGATATCATTTATTGCACAGTTATCGACGTAAGAAGTTAACTACAAATATCTCTGATACATTAAAGATTGATGCTATTATTTTCGTTATTAGAAAGTTGATCATAAAACATTCTGGTGTACAAGTAATTCTAAAATTATTACAGTAAATTGATCTAGGACAACAAATAACAAATACTGCTAAGTGAACTCAACTTTCTTATCTATGACTATGACTACATATTTAATATTGAAAAATCGGTATTTCAATTCCACTCGCCTGATAACCCTATACAAATAATATAAATATACAACCCCCAACCTATGTTCTATCTCATCTTACATGTGCAGCATGGTGAAGTGTACGGCGTTCAAGACTAAAATTTGGATGAATTGTATTGACTCCCAGTCTGGTTGAACAAAATATGTCAAACATTTATTTTTGTTCAAGAATAAAACTTCTATTTTAATTCCATCATGCTGTTCACTTCATTTAAAATGGTGAGTACAAGTCGAATAAACTTTGTCCTAAACGAAAACACAGTACAACTCGCAGCCTCGTTAAATCACGTGGTCGACATTAAAATATCACTCCAAACTACGCAATTAAAAGAACTTAGCTATTGATAACTGGCACAAAGATAACTAATTCCCATTTTCTATGTATAAGTTTGAATAATCTTATCAACAATATCAGGATCATCAGAGTAATATTCGCAGGTATAGATGGTGTACTCATCATTTTTGCGAACCAAACAAATTCTATCACGCGTTGAATCTTTTTCAGGAAATGACGCCTTTAACTCGATTTGCTCGGCGATGACTGGTGGGCAATCCTATATGTGAACAAAACATTCATTTAAAGTATAAGAGAGAAAATGTTGAAACGAAATAACAAATAGATATATACAACTATTTCCCTACAAATGTTTTAAATGGCTTTGCATTATTTCACGTAGTATTAATATATCATATTAAACAATTCCATCATAGCAGTTCCATTACTAAACTTTTCAATGTTCTAGTTTATATAGTGTTAACTATGTTATTATATATTTTAAAATAGTGAGGTAAAAAATCAAACCATCACAACATCCAACCACTAACACTAGCTAAACAGCTTTTTACTACGATTGTGTTGATTCCTTTATGTTTATTGTAGTGTATATTGATGTAAAAATAATCATTGCAGGACACTCACCACAATTTCACAAACAAATTGAACCCACGCATCTTCTATTACAATGACCTCACATCGTTGACAATTATCAGTTGCCACATCTACAGTTCCCTGTAAAATAATGTATGTCGATATATACAAACTCTTTTTAATTCATGGAATAATAATAATAATATAACAACATTATTAGATATGTTGTTTATTGTGCAGTATTAATTTTTCTCTTTTACATTGAATTCTTCACGTTAGTTTACGACATTAACCCATGAAACCCGGAAAAGTTTTAAGTCGGAACCGTTGCTTTATCACACAAGAACAAACGCGGTCAGTCGGAAATCACTAAGTTTCCATCGCACATAAAGGCACATACTGTGATATCAAAATATGACTATTTACAGTAACATTTTAGTGCATGCGAGTCCGTGCTAAAAATACGAAATAACATACTATATCACTCTTTTTAATTGAGTCAATTAGTGATGTGATTATTGCGTCATACTCGTAGTGAAGTGTACCAGGTACGAATGCTGCATTCCCTAAATAAGTTGTAGCCTGAAACCTTATATCTTTCCCCTCAATTGTATTTTCAATGTCTGCTATGTGAAGTGGGCAGGTAAACCCCTCAGTGCACACACTATGCCATACTCCATTGTCGTACATGACATCATTACAATCCGTACAAGTGCCATTAGCGGGGTTTCCAGGATGATGTTGAGCATTTGATGTAACTGCCATCAAGATCAAACCCCAGAATGAAAGTGATACAAACATAGTTCCTGAAAGTAAATAAATAAACAAATAAACAAATAAATAAATAAATAAATAAATAAATAAATAAATAAATAAATAAATAAATAAATAAATAAATAAATAAATAAATAAGAGACAAATGTTATACATTTTTCCCAGCTAATTATATTTTTATATCAAAGTTGAGCGGGATCAAGGAGCTTGGTTCGACGTTAATTAAACTCGTCACGCGGGTTAAAAAACGTTGTACAATCTCACTTCAAGCTGCAGACACGTACAGTCATGAGCCCCACTCATGACACAAAAAAGACTTCATGTTAATGTACAAATAAATCAACTCACTGAAACTAATACTAATGGATGTATATACCAAATGAATACAAAACATGGCAACAAATGGTGAAAGCACATACATACTTAACAAATCCTCATATTATATAAAACAAGTCAAACCTGTATTTTGTCATAAGACTGTCAACACTTGCAAGCTCAGTTAATGTATATTTCACAGTGCTACGTATGTGTCCGCAATGTGACTACTATACGTCATTACATGAATATTATTAGCATTTCTTCCCTATCTTTTAATCTTTTAATCCCTGTATATGTCGTCAGGCAAGCCGAGTCGGCAATATTGATATGTTTATTGTGAAATCAATGTTCATAAAAAGTCGAGGTAGATGTTTTTTTTAACGAAAAGTAAAGTAATTAATGCATATAAAATTAAAATGCCGAAACACAATTTATTATAGTTTTACGACGTTTTAATAGTACTACTATTTAGTACCAGCATATTTATGATTTGCTCTTATTTTGAAAAGTGCTAATATCAACCAAACCATTTTCACAACAGGGGTGTAAGTAGTCACTGGTTGGAAAATAACTTGTATTGTCTTTTGGTGAGCTGTCAAAAGTCAATTATTATTCATCTCCTAAATATTTGTTCAAATGTCGCATTTCATATTAATTTGTAAGTTGTCGAAAATGACAACTATATTGAGAACATGTTAACAACATAATGCATTCTTCCGTGGTGTTATTTCCTTGTGTAGCTTAAATTTATTTTTAAAATAACAGGCAAGATAAGTACAATTATTCCAATTGCAAACAATGTCGTCCGTCTGGTGTAGCCAGGACCACACCGGCTACGATTCACTGTTTAAGGATAAAGTGGACGTATTCTTGTAATAATTAATAAAAAAAAATTCAAAGCACTGTCATAGATGAAATGTGCATGTAACACAAGTAAAAGGTGACAAAATATAAATATTATTTCTCAGAAAGAAAAGGTTCATATATCTTGTTCTTACTGATACGACTAATATACTCGTCAATTATTTTTTGGATAACTGCAACGCACAACACTGGCCCGGAGCTGACTAACTCTGTTCACGATCGTTTTGCACAAGCGATAACAAAAGAATGTAAATTAGTAATGACAATTCTGAAGTAGTATGATTTAGCTGCAATTTGATCATTTTATATCACTTTTCCCTTGTTCTATTACCATGGAAACGGGACCATTATACTCACTTTGTGTTTCATTGGAATTATCTATTGTCATTGCCTGATTTGCTACTTTGAAATAAAATTAATCTACCATTTTACATTGATTTTCATCTTTTTCCAAATTTATCAATGGATTCTTCAAAACTGTCCCACTCTTCGTGCCCTATTGTTTGAATAACAATTGTCTCTGACAAGTTAAGTAATTGAAATTGGAATCACTTCTAAATTATGCATGCATTACGAGGGAGAGGTTGTAATCACAATGCATGCTGGGATTTGTTTGTGTAATATGTGGTTTTCTCTATGTAGCAACATTTGTTGGATTTTTGTATCTGTACTATTATATGTTCACATTGCATGATGGCAATCATTGTGAATTCAGACTGAAATTGATTTGTCTAATGCTGATGGATGCTCTGGTCATGGGTATTTAAATTCTGATATTTTTCTGTTTGCACGCTAACAAACAAATAATAATAATAATAATAATAATAATAATAATAATAATAATAATAATAATAATAATAATAATAATAATGAACAACTTATAAAATACAATGCAGTTGATACATAACAAAGGTTGAGTTGCATGGAACAGCCTATTAAAAGCAACAATATCTGCTTATTTATACAGGTAACTATAGAAATATATGCTTAGAAAATATAATACATAATAAAGTGATTCTAGTGAAAAAAATTGCAAAATAATTACATATCTACAAAATTTGCATATCATGAAAATGGGAGAAAATCAAGATGATAAAATCTACTAGCTTGTGAATATCCGGTATTGCTGGTTATGTTATTGATGACAGTTATTATTCAAGTCTTAGAAATGAGATTTGATTTATATTTGGATTTAAACATGTTAATATTATTTATATTTTTCAAGTCACAACTCAGTAGATTCCATAGTTTCATTCGTTCTTGCTTTGTCGATTTCTGGATTAATGAAGTTCTTGCACTATCAACATATAGATTTTTTTAAATATTTAATGAACATTTGATTAAAGCAATTTATTAGCATTTGGTTTTCAACTCTGAACATAAACAATGCTCGTTGCATTTTATATATGTCATGTACTTTTAGAGTGTTTAGTTTTTTTTGAAAGGTGGTTTTGTATGGACTTTCCTGTCTACTTTGCATATTAATCGGATTGCCCGTTTTGCAGTACATGTACTTTTTCTATTTGTCTTATTGCTGCTCTTCCCCAGGCTAAAATACAGGAATTTATGTGTGGCAAGATCACTGCATTATAAAACATTCTTTGACATACTGTATCTCAACCTGGATTATTACCCTAATTGTTTTTTTGAAATTTTGTTTGTTAGAGAATCAATGTGATTTTTTCATGTGATGTTCTTATCAATAATAACACCCAAGAATTAAATACTGAATTAAATCGCTGATTTCTTTGTTATTCATTGAATATTATCAGTAGCGCATGTTTGTTTTTTTAGGTTTTGCGTTCAAAAACCATAAAGTTCGTTTTTTTCAATATTAATCGATAATTTACTGCTTACTAATCAGTCAGATACCTTTTGGATTACAGTATTATTAATATCTATTGCAATAGTGAAATCAGTATGACTGTGAAATATGTTGGTATCGTCTGCAAAAAAGAAAGTAATTTAAAACATTTGAGGTCTCCATCAGAGCTTACGAATTGTTTTCTGTTATTTAGACTTTTAAACCACTCCAGGCTTACCCCTCCTATTTCATAATGATGTAATTTTGATAATAGGATACTGTGGTTTGTAGTGTCAAATCCTTTAGATATATCTAAAAAGATGCCAATTGTATATTCTTCCTTGTCCATTGCTGATAAAATTGTGTAAATTAAGTTTCTCAGCCATGTATGTTGAGTGGTTGGAACGGAAGCTATACTGATTTTTTTTTAAAAAACACATTCTGATTTTTTATTAAACTGAATGTTATATTGTACACTATTTTTTCCAAAAGTTTAGAAATACATGGAAGAACTGATATAGGGCGATATTTATTAGGACAATTTGTTTCTTTGAAGTGACTCGCAATTTTCATTTGTCCGAGAAACTGGCTACAAGAAAGAGACAAGTTGAAAATGTGCTTAAACATAATGTCACCTCTTAACAATATTTATAGGAATTTCGTCATACACTGCACTATTGTTCACATTTGATGAGTTAATTATGTTTAATATTTCATTGTAAGTCAGTGGTTCAAAGAACATTATTATTGGACTTGTCAAATAAGTATGAAGCCTAATAAAGGTGGGGCAAGACGACTTGCTAAATTTGTGCCGACATTAGCAAAAAAGGTTTTTATTTCATTTGCAATTGCTGGTTTATTTTTAATAATCAGAAATTCAGACTGATTGTTCTCTAATTTATTTTTCTTTGATGTTGAATTCATTGTATTCCATGTATTTTTCATGTTAAGTTTTTCTTTATTGAACAAATCACTGTAACGTTTCGTTTTTGTGGATCTCAGGAAATTTGTTAGGATATGTTCGTATGTATAATACTTGTTCCTGTTTCTTCCATTGGGCTTTTTTAACGATAGTTTATATAGCTTATTTGTTGTTCTTATAGTTTGTAGCAGACCTTTAGGTTTCATGGCGATTGTAGCTTTTAATTATTAATTTTTATTTACATTATTAGTATGCATTTATCAATAACTAATTGCATTTTTTGTAAGATCTATCATACGAGTCATTTGTGTCACTGGTAGTTCTGTGATGAAAATATTTTTAATGACATATTTAGCTTTTTTGTATGAAGTGGTGTAGTTTGATTTACGACAAATCGGGAAATGATCGGAAATATCGGTAAGCAGAATATCATTTCTGCAAATGTCTATTTTAGTTATTAGTATATTGTCGTCAAGTTAGCTGATCTGCATTGAACCGTGTTGGCATAAAAGAACAACTATTTAATATATGTAAACAAATTCAGTTTACCATTTAGATTATTGACATCATTTCTGACTGAGTAGGTAATATCATTGTATTTTTTCAAAGTCAATATATTAACACTGTGTTTCTCATTCACCCATGTTTCCTTTCAATCCTATGATTGAAAATGTGTTTTCAATAGACCTTAAATAGGTAGTTAAACCGTCAATTTGTTTAGTCAAAATTCTAATATTAACATGAATCAAGAAAAATGTGTCAGGGTAGTCATGATATAATTTGTTCAATTCTTCTTCTGTCAAGTGCTAGCTCTTTATACTGCCATTGCTATTATGAATATTAATAGTGAGGGAATTGAAGATTATATTGTCCAACCTTGCAAAATTTACTGCAAGGTTGGAATTTAAACTATTTACGGCATCATAAAAATGTGTATTTTCCTTGAAATGATTAAATGGAAATATGTTTGCTAAACGAGTGGTACACAAACAAGTCGCATCATAATCAAATTTTGTAATGCATAATTACACAATTTTACTGACTTTTTTACTGACATTGTGAGAGATGGAATATTCACTTAAAGAAGATGGTGACGTGGTATTTACCCAATGTTCCTAATGTCC